TTGTCCCTAAAATTTCTAGTGCTGCAAGTTTTTTATTGCAATTTCCTCTGTTTTGATGCAATACCAGACATAAACCAGAAATGCTGACATTAAACTACATACCTTTGACCTTTCTGACACCAAGCAAGAAAAAGATGACATTTTTTGTAAAATTCTTATCACAGGATATCTCAAGCGGGAAGGGGCACCTGAGGATCCCCGAGCCGACCGCCCGGCTCCTCACAGCACTGCCTAAAGCTAAACCATGTAACCCCGAGGCTTGTCTGAATGCCCCCTGAACTCTGCCAGGCTGGGTGCTGTGACCACTGCCCTGAGGAGCCCGCTCCACGGAGCAACCACCCTCCCAGGGAAGAGCCTCTTCCTGACGCCCACCCTCAGCCTCCCCTGACGCAGCTCCATCCCATTTCCTCGTGGCCTCGCCCTGCTCAGCAGAGAGGAGAGCAGCAGCTCCCCCTCCACTGCCCCCTCGAGGAAGGGCTGCCATGAGGGCACCCCTCAGCCCTCTCCAAGCTCAACAACAAACCAAGCCACCTCGGCTGCTCTTTGCAAGCCTTACCCTTAAGGCCTTTCCCCTTGGTCACCATCCTCTCCACACACTCTGATCTCCTTCCTACTTCCACGCGCCAAAACTCGAGGAGGAGCCGCAGCTCTGCAGTGCCCAGTGGGACAGTTGCCTCCCCGACTGGCCAGCTGTGTTGTGGTTGCCATCTCCTAGGACACGGATGGCATGTTTGGTGGCCACCACTCACAATGCACCTTGCCGTCAACCCCAACCCCAAAATGGCTTCCCAAGGCGCTGCTTTTCAGCCTCTCATTCCCCAATTTATAGGGAGAACCAGGATCACTCCAGCCCAGGGGGAGAACCCAGCACTTGTTCCTGTGCAGTTTCACACGTTTGGGGATTGCTCACCTCTCCTCTACCAAGGTCTCTTGTCTACAAACATGTTATTTGTGTGCCAGAATTGCTATTTCTGTAATAGTATACTCAAAACAAAGCCTTGAATTTTGAAAGGCGAACTTTGTTTTGGTCTCTGGAAAAACAATGCCACAGGTTGAAACACACCTCTGGGCGTAGGAAGAACAGGGTTATTGGAAACAATCAGCTTGGATTTATCAGAGGAAAATCATACCTGATCAATCCAATTACCTTTTATGATGGAAAGGGCGTAGTGGCTATCTTGTTCAATGTGACTTTAACAAAGTTTTCAACACTCTCTCCCACAGTATTTCGGTACTCGAGAACATCACAGGTAGATGCACAGGCACTGTTTGAATCAAGAACTGGCCAATGGATCCGGCTCAGAGTTGCAGCTATTGAGTCTCTACCTGCCAGCCAGTAACAAGCAAGGGTACTGCAGGCTGGACGAACAGGCTAACTCTAACAATCTCAATCTTAAAACTATCCATTTTAAAATCATAACCCTCATCTTCAAGCTAGAAATAAAGTATGCACGTCTGCTGGTGTCAGTTTTTAAATCAAGGCCTGTAGGATCTAGCAATAACTTGCCTTTGTATTTCCTATCCTGGCAAGTCCTAATCATAAGAAGTTCAAGTCCTTCCAAATTCCTGGTCCAGCAACATTAAGAAATAAACTTCAGTTTTTCAACTCGTATTCCCCAGATGATCAAACTAACATATTCATGACATACAGAAGCATTGGTGTTTGTAGAATCTAAGATTAAGGGCTTGCCCACTGATTTAAGGAAAGCACTAAAAGAGCAGAATAACTAACAGCTGCTAACAGACATCTTCAAGTGCATGAAGATCACTCTACTAGTTCTTCTTTTCCAAGGAAACACTTTTTACTGGACTCCCTTCTGAATTTTTAACAAGCTTTGTTATACCTAAGCCTGACTTCCACAACAGCTGAAATAAACCAAAATATATTTCAATAATTACTTTAAATATTGGAGGACTTAATTCTTGATTTTTCATGATGCTCATCATCATCAGTAGATGATGCTCAGTTTTGCTAAATTCTCAAGAACACAGAATTTTAATTTCAAGAGTTCTGGGTTATACAGGGACACATTGACTGGTAGACAAGCTTGTTATTAGGAAAAGATGCACAACAAAGTACCATCTCAACACAAATTTTTGTAACCTGAAACTTTTTTTTTTTAATGGATTTTTTTCTATAAGATTACACAATGATCTCTTCTTACCATGAAACGTTGTCACTGAATTTCGATGTATCCAGACAACTGATTAAGGAAGTGCCACTCTTCAACACTTTGAAGTTTCATACCAAATAAATAAAGTAATATCGACTCAAAAATTAACTGAAACTACAAAAATGTCTTAATACATGATAAAAATCAGTGGTTCCTTTTATGGGTTGCCAGATGCTTTATCTCGATACATCGAGCCTGCCTAGGTTGAGCCTACTCGCTGTCTCAAGCAGCAGACACACCACTACACTGCTACCTCTAAATATACCAAAACATTTCCTTTATTTTCAAATAACATACCAGATTCTTCAGGAGTCTGCAATTCAGAAGTTTCCATTGCGGTACACGTTGGTGTAAATTCAGTCTTCTGAACAGAGGCCAAAGGTAATGTTTTTCCACTCTTATTTTCTGGAGTTTGAAACATTTCAGCTATTCCTATAAGTTAAATTTAGAGAAATGAACATACACTTTGACAAAAGAACTACACAGTTGGCAGCGTGAGCAACTGATTTAAACACCTTACCTGTGAAGCTTTCGTCCATATTCATGTTTAGCATCACAATAGGATTTTTTACCACTTTAGGAACCTGTCCAACTGTTGTGACTGTGGTGGAATAAGCTCTACCTACAACTATTGTAGCAGGTGACTCTGCATGACCTGTACTAAAATGACCTTTTATTTTCCTTTCTGGAGTCTGCAGAGGGAAAAGGAAAAAAAAATAATAAAAAGGTCAGCAAACTAAGATAGCTTTTATATAAAATCTACATTTCTTATTTTCTGTGAAAAAGACATCAACACTCATTTAACATCATACTAAAAGCTCAAATCCTTCCCGTTTCTGTAGAAAAATACCTACAAGCTGGTTTGTGGTTATGTAAAAACAAAAAGAATACCTTTGGTGATGTTGTTTTCTTCTTTAGGGATCTTCCTTTTCGGACACTTCTTTTAACAGTCTTTGACTGTGGTCTTGCAACACCTAGTTTTACCACTTCTGCCCAAGATTTTGCAACTAGAAAGCAAAAGAGAAATAACCACTTTAATTGCCAGCTGTATAACTGGAAGTTCTCACTTATTTCCCTGTGAATTTGCTACAGACAGGCACAGGGAAGTGGCTGCCTCACCTGACAACACCTACACTGAAGTGCTCTGTGAAACACTCTCAGTTGGAAGACCCAATTTCAGCTGAAAGTGTCCAGTTACCCACTATGGCTGTTTCCACAGCAAAACAACAACAAAAAGCTTTATACAGCATCAAATAGATATTAGATCCTACCACTAAAAGCTAACTCAATTCCACCCTCACTCTTTTTGTATGGAAATATTTTTTTTCCAACAGAAATTTGCCATGAGCCTTTCAGTCTCATTCATTATTATACTTAAATTTTTCCCTGGTGGGATATGAGATTGACCATCAGAGAAACAGCTTCTACGTGAACAATACCTTGCTTTTCTTTCACCACCTTCCCAAGGATTTCACAGTCAGGCAATTATTTATACTGCTTATAGCATTTAGATCTGCACAGACATTCCATAATTTTTTCTTATATCACCTTCTCTTTATAACATACTCTGAAAATTCCCGAAGCAAAGTTGCCTTTATCACAGCATCGTTCTGTACACAGCAGAGGAATAAGGAAAATAGTTACAGGTGTGTAATAAATGAAGCTGTAAGGACATCTACCTCCTTTACTTCAGAAAAGGACTATAAGAAGACAATGATTATATAAAAAACAATGGTTTTCAAGTGCAGATAACAAGGGGAATTCCCTTCCTGAAGAAAACAATGTTATGATTTTCTTGTCAGAATTGCTGTTCAAGTTAGAGAAAGTCTGTAAATAAGACTTTTTAAAAGCTGCAATTGCTAGGGTGTTCAGAATACGTAGAAAAGTGCCAAGCATGCAGAAAATTATCTGAAAAAGCAAGTTTTATTTTGGATACCAAGTAGACATCCAAAATTTTTAAGAACTGTGGCTTTCTTTTCACATTACAGAATAAACTGATGCGCTTATATAAAAAACCACTCGCTTATTACAGAGAGGTGGTGAGAAATGATGGGTCACCAATATTTGTGAACTACTCTGCTGCTATGAAAATGAGCGGAAGAACCGAAGCCACTGAAAAAAAGAACCCTCACTTATTTCACTAAAAGACTAATACACATTCAGCTGTATTAACCAGGAAGCACTGTGAAGGCCTGTGATTTTATCTGATCATATAACAACAGTAATGATGAGATCCTCACTGGGACACGTATGCAGCACATTGTTCAAAAGTTTAAAGTGACATACAAAAAAAAGGAGACAGTAAAGAGTAACAAAAATTCCTGCATGAATAGTGGTGTTGGTGGGAAGTTTTAAATTTGACTTTGAAAGAGTCAAACTGATTTGATTTATGAAGCAGATGACAAAGACACATTATCTGTAAGCTGCTTCAAAGATAAAAACATCAAGAATCAGATGCCCCCTATCATAATTTTTCCAGTGCTGTGAAAACCTTTTCAAACTAGTGTTCAACATTCAAATTCAAATATTCAGCTTCAAACTATTCAAATTAACACCCAGTTACCACCCTGGTTTTTTAATTCTGTTATATACCACTGTCAAAAATTAAATGCAGTCCAGCCCATGGACAAAAGTTGTGAACTGCCTATAAAAAAGGCACAAAGAAAACAAACTGAAGCTAGATTGCTATAAAACTCAGGTTTTCACATCAAAGTTGATGTCATTGATACAAAGTGATTTAGTTCAATACTACCTGAACTTGGAAGGACTGGGATTGCTATTGTAACTAACCTCACAAAGAGAACCTTAATTCTACCATTTTTCAACTTCTGAACGGTAAGATGTGTTCTAAATAGTTTCATATATGCTTTAGTAACATGCTTTATGAATATGACAGAATGTAACCCTTTGCAATTCCCAAGTTGTTTCCAGCAAGTCCAACAACTGCCAGAAGAGAGATGCCAATCATTTGGTGGGCTCTGCATAACAAAATAACAGGCCTACTTCAGTTCTGTTCCCATATTTTACAGCAATAAAATGACTACTAAAAATTATCTGCTGAAACAAACCTAGTAGATTGGCACTAGAGGCACCGCTTCTTCTTTTTGCACTGATAACTGCTACAGCCCCACTTCTCCTCATGGGTGTGACCTTTGAAGCAAGTTGTGCAGTTTTTGTCAATTTGTCAGGTGTATTTGTTGAAGAGGTTTTATCATCTGGGTGAACCTGAGAAGATTTAGGGGTTTTCACTCGGGGATCCCTTTTCTCCTTCGTATTCACGTTTTCTGCAATGGCATCCTTCTCTTCTGCAATTGGTGATGGTGTCGTGATGTGAGAGACAGAGAAACGTTTTTTTGTGAAAGGTGCTGGAGAGCCTAAAGGAGGTGTAGGTCTTGCTTTCCCAGAAGCAGGGGATGAGGCAGCTGGTGACTTCCCAGCTGGCAAATCCTTTGGTGACATTGTTTCTTTCTGCAAATGTTCCTGGTAGAAAAAAAACCACAAAAGGTAAAGATAAAATGTTATTGCACATAGCTCAACTACATCCCTGGCAAGCACATACAATAGTATAAACTATCATCAGATCATTTGAAAAAACGTTTGAAAATATTTTCTGAAAAGCAACTTGTAACAAGTTTTAAATTTCAAAACACTCTCACAAGAGAGAATCACAGAATCATCTAGGTTGGAAAAGACCTTGAAGATCATCTAGTGCAACCATTAAAACACATGCAAATTCCATCGAAGAAATTAAGAGAACTTCTAATTCTACTTTATTCAGAAGTTTTGTTCATATCAAGTACACGAGATACATTTCAACCAGTTTAAATCAACAGCAAATGTTTTCCAAGTTCTAGCCAAACCGCATGGCAGTAGCTTCTCCAGTCTGTCAAACTCCTGTTTTCTGTTACTTAGGATAAACTGGAGCTTGTAGACACTGCTGCTCAGCACAAACATCCAGAAATACACTCCTGCGTACACATGAAAATGAGCAATAGCCTGTGAGGTGAATAAAAACACACCTCCTGTAGAAAGACAGGTGGATATAAAGTGTAAGCTGAGCCCTTTCTTACAACAGCAAGTTAAAAAAAATGCTGATTAAAACTTGATTTTAAATACGATTTTCATTTGCCATTAAAATCTCCACTTCCCAGCATACACCTAACAAGGTGTTAATTTTTAGAAGTCTTGGAATTTATAAATTCTGCACACATTAATTGTCTTCACAACCTGATTAGTCTTAACTTTTACCTGGACCGTCAAGCGCTTCAACCCCTGAGCCTTTTTCAGAACGGCGCGTGGCGAGTCTCCAAACGGTAAGTTCAGTCGGGCAGGAATTGCCCCTCTTTTAATGGGTGAGTTGGGAGGCAAACTTTTATCAAAAAGTTCTGGACTTAGATGACCACCAAAAGACACTCTCTTCCTTTTTTCTAAAGGCTGAAGTGACACACCACCACTTTTCCTCTTCTGAGATAGCGTTTTTGTCTTGCCTAAAAATAACAATTGAAAATATTTCTATATATTTATCTAAGAATCCAAGTCAATGTTCTCACCAGCAGAGAAATCAGTGCTTACTTGTGCATTTTAAGGTTGGAAACATATCAGAAGAGAGAAATAGATTCAATTGAGTAAACTTTTATACATATTATTGTGCATTTTTATGGTCACTATAACTACATGTTAAAATTTTAGCTAATACGTCAGCAATGAGTTCTACATTTCAGGTAAGTAAAAAAATTCCCATAAAAATGAGAATTCCTCAAATATAAAAGTGACAAGGAATTAAACATATTTACCTGAATCTCCTCCAGTCAGCAGGTCGGAAACATCCACTTCTGAGACAGCCTCATTGTCTTTCAGTAGGGCAGCACTTCCAGAAGACCTTCTCCTGGAGGACAACCTCCGAGGTCTCATCTCACAGGCATCTTCCAGATCTTGCTGCTGGTGATGCCCCTCAGTGGCGAGCTCTTCTTTACCTCCCTTGTCGTTTCTGTTTGGAGTTTTACTGGGATTTTCTTGAACAGCACTTGTCTCCAAGGATTTTTCAGTTAGCAGACCTGAGGCCCTTGGCCTATCCCTTTGTCTTCCGGGCTCAGACTTCGGACTAGGAGGAGATGACTGTTCTGATGTTAACTCTCCTGAGGCCGGTGTCTCCAGATGGACACTGGTGCTGGATAATTCTTTACTTTGCCTGTTACTTCTTCTGGGACTCTTGGAATTCGAAAGAGAAACCGGAGTTTCAGAACATTCCTCTTTTGAATCAACAAAGTTTGCCTGATCACAAATTTCTTTCAGCACTTCTTCTTTTACAGCTCTTCCTGGGGTACACTGCTTACTGTTGCGTCTTGGCTTTAGGCATTCCTTTCCTGCCAAAGGCAGCTGTTTGAGGCTGTCATTTCCGCATGCTGAATCTTCCCTTGCAGTCCCAGCTAACAGTTCTGGAAAAGACTGACATCTCAAAGACACACGTCCTCGAGTTGTTGGAGTATCGGTATATACAGGATCCATTCCACTGCTTTCTCTGGGAGGTGCTATGAAATGCGACCAAGGACTCCTCCTTCTGGACGTTGGTGGAGACAGAACATATTTATCTACTTCAGAAACATTCGCTGTGTTTGTCCTTTGTGCTAGTTTAGCTCCTGCTGCTGGACAGCTGTGTATTTTCATTTTATCTGCACAATCCAAACACTCTACAATGCACGGCTTCAGTGAAAATGCTGCATTTGCATCCTTCTCCTTACTGGATCTGCTTCTAAATTCAGTACCTTCAGAGCTGCCTTCTGTACTTAGTTCCTTATGATCCTGCAAGTGATTTCTTTCCCCAGGATCTCCTGCTATCTCCTTTGAAACAGAAGCTCGAGGACTCCTGGTAAAACTCTTCCTGGTAGCACTTCCTACAGTCGAGATCTGGTTCAATTCTGAACAGGTTACTTCTCCCTTTATTTTACATTCTTCAATATTTTCACTTCTACTTCTCGCTTTTTCTCTAGTCAGGCTTCCCAGATCATAAAAACAACTCAGTGAAGTTCGAGCACTCGGCTCTAGCAGGACACTCTTCCCATCTCCTTTTGCAGCTTGGTGACATACATTTCCCTCTCCCGAAGTTTTTTGCACTTTCATCTCGCATTTCAGTTTTTCATAAAGTTTACTAAATGGAGACATTTCACATTGCCTCCTAACGGAGAGAAGTGCTCTGCCTGCAGATTTGGGTGTGTGTAGTTTGACAGGTAAAGCTTGGCAAGTTTTTTCTTCTGTACTTTGTTTCTTTTCATTGGCATTTTTTTCTTCCCACTCAGCATTATCTGCAAAGCAAAGCAAAAAGTAATACAGATGCAGAGTTACTTAAACATGGCAGAACTACAATTATGAGTTCCAAAAATACAGGTGAAAATTCCGTCCTTTCCTCTCCCGACGCGGTCAACCAGTGTCCAGGATACAGTACTGAAAATAAAGCTCTGTTAACAACAACAAGTCTTCTCATGATAGAAGTATTAGTGTCTAAATATTTAATTAAACTTTAATTTGTAATATGGAATTTATGCCACATTCAGGGAAGGCACTTGGTATTTCATGCTTTTGTTTTGCATCAAAAACAACGGCTCATAAACATCTTCCAGGGCTGCCACAAGACAAACCTGTGAGCACAGAATCAACCCACCATTCAGGTCAGCTCACCACAAACCCATCTGCTTTCCATCCTGCATTTACACAGGGGCTGTGTTGCTTTAGGGCAAAGTCAGCCTGCAGAGCTGCCACTTCCCAGTGAGACACAGCAAGTGACTGCTCATGTGCTGCCAAGTCCACTGGAACCCGGGACTCACACTGGAAAGTCCTAAACCACATTGCCTTTGCTCTTTGCAACCTTGTTTTTCTTTTTAGGGTAAGAATAAATGCAGTTAAAGGGGAAGAAGACAAGAGAGCCCCCATAACACAGCTACCAACCTGAAGCATGAAGACTTTTAGATCCTGAAGTTGGTTTGTGTAGTAATTCCACTTCTGCCACCTGCTGAACATGAAGAACCTGTAAATTTGCACAATATTACAGCAGAGCAACAAATATTTTACAGTTTAGCTTTCTCCTGGACATTGAAAATCACCATAGAAATACAGGCACTGTTTACTAAACAGGGATAAAAGGATTCAGATGAAATCCTACAATGTTTCCGAGTTGAAGGACACTGACCAATACACATTTAAGGCCCTACATAGCATGAGTGTCAGTCATGTTTTGCCACTAGAATTATCAGCTCTAAGAGCAGGTGTATCAGAAGAATATACAGAAGCACACTTGAAACTCACCTTCTTACCACACCTACTGCAAAATTTTAATTTAAATAAGAGTACTATAAAATAATAATACAAAAAAAAAAATATTTCAAAGCCCACAGTACTCACAAATTAACATCATCCCCTTTAAGGGAGAAAACTTGGCTGAGAACAAAAAAAAGAAACTAATGGAAATAAATTATTAAAACACAGGCTTACTTTGCTATTTATAAATTCTAACAACACCTTACTGTGCTAGCACATAGAACAACAGATTATTCTGGAATAAAAAGCATGCTCACTCCCTAGGGCAAGCATCCCTGTTTAAAATATGAGGCTATCCAAGGCTCACAACTCTGCACTTCTTCCATTCCATCCTCTCTTTGAAAAAGCTATGGATTAATTTTTAATACTTTACCTGTGTTAGTAACAGCACAGATTATTAAGGAGCTATTACCAGAAAATGACAAGTCTAGAATTAATAAATTTTTAAATTTTTAAAAAGTATTTATCTGAAGGAGTTTATTCTTATTTTCCAACAGAACGTTAGTCTGCGGCTGAAAAATTATTTCTAACGAGAAAACAGAACAAGGAAATAGAACCCTGTATCATTCCAACACCAACCTACTCGCAATAAATAACCTATGGCCGCAAAATTACCTGCAGGGTTTCATCTCTTGGAGACCTAGAACGTTTCTTCCTTGGAGTTGATGGCAGAGGATATTCAAATCTGGAACAAATGTTTAAAACCACAAACATTTTCTATCAAATTGCTGATGTCTAAATCCCTCTCATTAAGACTAATGACCTAGCAAGAGTTGTCCACTCCCAACAATACACACAGACCACTTTTAAGGGCTTTAACTACATCAGACTAGTTCTAAATTTTCCCCTAAAAATGACCACCCTCGAAACAAAATCACAATGATCTCTCTAGACAATTCTAGCTTTATTGGTTTAGCTTAATGTAATATAAAAGTGATATAAAAAATCTTTAAGAAATCCTGCCTCCTCAAGAAGGTCTATAAGACCTTGTGAAGACACATGAAATAAACTAGATTAACTTCTGCTGCTGAAGATAGGGAAAGGAGATTTTAATTTTCCCATTTATCTCCAGCCACCTTCTGTATCTCCATCCATCAGCAGAGCCTGCGCCCACAAACCTCTCCGTGCTCTTGGCCTGCACAACCCCTTCCAGGATCGAGGCACTAACAGTTTGGCAGCGGCACTTACCTGAAAGAACGATCAATAATAGTTAACACATCTCCGTGCTTCAGAGGTACAGGGTGCTGAAAACAATCACCATTCAGCCGCGTAGGATTTATCGTACTTAAATTAGTCAGTATTGCCTAAAAATAAAACCAACATTTTGGGTAGCCTGAGAAGATGAAGACATGCAATGTACACCTCGTTACAATAGGTCAGTCTTACCTCCTTGTTTTCATTTACTTCAATTTTACAATGTTCTTTCGAGACCTGAGGCAACTGGATGCGAATATCACACTCTGTTCTCCTGCGGGTGAAAAGACAAGTTGGAGTTTCAAGACACACAAAAGACAGAAGAATCTGACTACTACAGCATTAGGTCATTTCCCAACTTTTCAGCTAATAGTTGTGCAGCACCATGGTTCTTTTAAATCTGGCAATGTCAAGAAAATGAACTCCCTAACTGCAGCAAAAAATAGAAACTCGTGCTTCTACCTCAGCAGAGAATCCGTATCAGAAAAAAATATGTGAAATACCCAAATTCTGAAAAAAGCAGGTCACCAGCCAAAGGAGACACATCTACAACAGGTATCTGCTGCTTTGAGATTACTTGTCTCCTGACCTGCAAGTTGCTGAAGACTTGCAGAATATTTCTAGAAAATGCCAGCATGTGCTTAAACCACCACATGTTCTTCAGGTCACTCTTAAGCATTTGTTACTTATCGCCCTCAGAGACAGACCATTGGTAGCTGGAGCTCTGCTCTCACCTGGAGAGCCACCTGCAGCTTCTCTGAAAGCTCCTATTAAGTGAAACTTATGTTTCTGAGGGTAAAGACTTTTTTTTTTTTTTTTAAAAAGCTTTTGAGGTGCTGCAGCTGGCAGGCAGCAGACACACACGCTGTCATACCGGAGGGACTGCTGTGCCCAGAAGCACCAACACCTCTCCCTGATGCAGCTGGCAGAAATTCATGTTTGTACCTTTAAGTATCATCTCTCTGGGCAGCTCTGCTGAGGCCAAGGAACAGAATTCTTGACCCCGGAGTGCTTCCCGTAGATTTGCCTTACAGAATCGTATTCCAGACTGAATAATTAGTTATTTAAGGTATCTGGCAGACAAGGAAGTGCTGAACTTACCCAGTTTAGAGAAAGTAAAATGTAATGAAGACAGTTAAAAACAAGCCATGTACCTCACTACACTAGTCAATTCTCTCTAAACTGTCTCAGAATTAGGCTATACACTAAAGCGTACTACTAATGGCTAAACTGTACTACTATTAAGCCCTTCCCCAGACTTCCTTTGGCCAGAAGCTTAAAAAAAATAAAATAATAGTAGCTCTGGCAAGGAAAGGACAAAATTTGCAGGAAAAATCTGCAGGAAAAAAATTATTAATATTATTTTGATGTATATAAGTACTCAACCAATTCTCACCTTCCAAATAAACAAGAACTTGCAGTGAGTGGAAAACAAATGCCATCAGTCCCATTCCGTTTAATTACGATGATATTCCCAAAGAGTGGCATCTTCAAGTGTGAGGAATCTTACCTATAAAAGCACGTCGAAAAAATTACTCATCCAAATACTGGAAATCGGGTGGGTGGGTATTTTTTTTAACTTCTTTTCAGGAGATATTTTCTAAGGTACAGCAGAAGACTCTCGGTGTAGAAAACTGGGAACTATTTGCCGTGAGCAAACAGGGGCAGCTGAAGGCACCCTGAGGTTGGAGGAACTCGCTTTACAGAGGGTGGCAGGAGCAGTCATCCCGGGCTCCTGTCACCTCGGTCATACTACTCTGGCCTCTGCAGTAGGTATTTCCTACCCATCGGAGCCTTTGCAAGGATTCCGGGGCCACACATACGGTATTTCACAGCGTGCTCCACTTCACTGCCGGGTAAACAGTCACTCCACGCCAACCCAAGTATCAGACATTCTGTTCTCTACACGGAAATCCTTAGAGGCGACTTTAGAGGACAGAGCAACAGACGGGACTCGCGTCCTCCTGACGGGGGGGAAGAAATGGCGCGTCCCCGCGAGGAGCACGGGCAGGAAGGGACCTGAACGGCTGCAAGGATCAGCCGCAGCAGGGCGGGGGGCAAGTGCAGCTCGGCGGGCACGGAGAGGCAGCAGCAGGAGGAACAGCCGTCAACTCGGGCGGGAGGAGGAAGACAAAAGCCCCAAAGCCACAGCGCCGGCCCCCCCAGAGACGCTCTTCCTCGCCTGCCGAGGGCGCGTCCCCAAGGCCAGCCACCCTCGGGGGAGCGTCTCTAAACCGCCCCGTCAGAGCGCGGCTCTGGGAGCGGCGAGCGGGAAGAAGGGCCCGCAGGGACTCCAGGGCGACCCTCGGGACTCTCTCCCCGCCTTTCACCCGATCCAACAGGCGCTGAGCGACCCAGGCCAAGGGCGCGCACGGAGCAAGCGGCCCGGCCCGAGCCC